GACAGGTAAATAGCTCAGTGTTAACCCTTCACAGGCCACAAAGGAAGGCCAGCAGGCTGGAGCCAGTGGATTCTGGAGGTGCTGGGGCAGCTAGAGCAGGACTGGGCATAGTGCCCTGTTCCTGATTCACCCCGGAAATGCAACTGGAAGTCCATTCTGGAGGTTCTTCTAGGAGGGGCTGAAGGACGTGAGCTGGCTCTATAGAATGAGGCAGGAACACTGATCAGGAAGGGTTCCCAGTGAAGGTACAAGTTCTGCCTCAGAGTCAAGAGACACTGCTAATTTCATACAGGGTAGTCATGTCATTTCAAGCAGGAACCGCCTCCTGCTGCAGGTCTTTAGGTGGTTTCAATAGTGACACTGGATCCACAGGACCCACCTAGCTGACCCTGTGTGCCTGAGGTCCCGTCCTCTTTAATTCAGGGCATGAGGTGGGGTCCTTCACCTGGTAGGCTTCTCCAGGTGCTCCATAGCCAGTCTTAGCCTAGAGGTTTGAGATGTCTGGGATGGGGGTGGACAAACAGCACTCCCAGAGCTGGGGACAGGGGTTCGGGTGGACAGGGGGGCATGCCACCAGCCACTGCTGGTTGATAATTCCTCAGTGATCCCTGCTCTCACTCTTCAGGTTTGGGCTCCCCATCCTAGACACCCCTTCCCTGGAGAACTCCCTGCTGGCTGGAGCAGAGTCCACCATGCCGGCTCTATGGAGGAAGGAAATGGGCCAATAGACTCCAGCCTGGGGCCTGGGGCCTGGATTCTCCCTATGGCCCCTCACTCAGCCTCCTTTCTCCTTCTCACTGTGTCTACAGAGGAGGTTCCTCAGAGCTAGTTTGTGGTCAGAATCAAGCACCCTGCCTTAGACCCACACCCAAACTGAACTGAAAGACCTCCAAGTGTCTGTGCTCTGTGCTCAGGGTGGACATTGAGTGAGGAGGTAGGAAACTGGGACCCTAAGAGGACTCACAAATCCAGTTGCCAAGCCAAAGCCTCTTTGTCCTCCCAGGAGCACTCAGGACTGCTGCTCCGTGTCTGCGCCACACTCCATCCCTGCTTCCACTCCTCAGTCTGCTTCCCCCCAGCCGCCATCATGGGCTCGTTCCCTTCACCCGCCCCTCAGATGTGCGTGTTCCCCGGGCCTTGGCACCCTCTCCCTCCATCTGCTCTCTTGGGTAACCTCCCCCACTCTGGAGGCTCTGGCTGTGCTCACACATCCTGGGCTCTTGCTCCTGCCCAGACCCCTGCCCAAAGCTCCAGAACCCTGGACCCATCTGCCCCTCAGGCCTCGCCACTCAAGGACCCACAGGCACCCAGAGTTAGCATGGTCAAACCTGAGCCTGTTTCTCCCCCTCCCCCCAGATTGCCTGCCTGTGAGAATGGCATCACCAGCCCCCCAGCTCCCAAGCTAGAATTAGGAGGCATCCAAGGTACAGTCATCCTCAACACCTCCCTCTCACCCCCGCATGGAATTGGTCATCAACTCCTATGGATTTCGTCTCTAGGATGGATCCCCAGTGCATCTCATGGACTCTGCTTCCCACACTGCTCCCCAGGAAGCTTCTCTGTCCTCTCACAAACCCTCTAGTACACCTCCACACCCACCACCTCCAGAGAGATCATAGTCCATTCATGCTCACTATCCTTCCGTGGCTCCCCATTGCCCTCAGACAAAGTGCTGATACCTTCATGTGGCCAATAGGATCCTGCTTGTCCCAGCCCCACTTCCATATTTCTGACATGCCAACATTGTCCACCCCAGGCAGGACATGCTGGCCAGTTAATGTTTTTCCCTTCACTCAAGAAACTTCCCCCACCCTCTCTTCTAGAGCTACATTTGCTCCCTGGCCCACCTCCTCTGGGAAGTCTTCCTTACTTGGACCTCCTTCAATAAATGATAGCCCCATCCCACGCCAGTGTCCATGGTGCTTTGCTTGTCTCTCTGGAATCCTTTTCTGTTTTCATTGTCTGATATCCCCCTACCCACCAGCCCCAAACCATAAACCTCTCAAGGGCAGTGGCTGGGCTTGTTTGTATCTTTGTGCCCAGCCCTGGTATATGGTCTTGGTAGTCATAAATATCTGGGAAGATGGAACTGAAATAGAGAAAGCTTTGAACGCCATCTCAATCCCCAAGCCCTTGATCCCAAGCGCCTCCACCACCTCCCCCAGGAGCCTGCCCTCCCCTCTGCTTCCCTCCTACCTGGTGTGTGCAGCATGATGGGGAGCCTGGGGGTTCTGGGTCTGGAGCAGCCTCCACTGGGTCAGCGCTCCCAGGAGTGGGCAGAGTGGCCCATGGCCTGGGCCGTGGTCCTCCGCCATGGTGGCGAGCAACCTCTGATTTTAATGCGGGCCTCAGTGCTTCAGTGAATGCCGGCATGGGAAGTTGCTAATAATGGCACTAAAATAAAATATGCTACATCTGTTATGGGTAGCAGAACAAAATTAGCTGCTCACACCTCTGACATCCAAGATGTCTTAACTTAAAATACTCCTTGGCTTACTTTACATCATTTACTGATTATATTTAAAAGAAATACAATTTTGCAATTACTGTTCTTTCCAGCGTGATATCTATGCATCATTTTCCTTTTATGTTTATATATTTCTCCTTCATTAGTGCAGTCTGAAGGGTGATTAGGATTCTTCAAACATTTTACAGAGGTTAAACGTTGATTAAGATTTAATTATTACTGTAAATAGCTTGGAATGACATATGGTGCAAAAGCCTGACATATGTGCATTTGAATAAATGAAGTGCTATTTCCCAGGATGCCTCAGTAGCTGTTTAACAGCTTTCCCGAAGGGTTATGTTACACCTCATGGTAAGATTGCTGGGATGTTATATTTTGTTGGTTTTTGCAGCTGAAAGCTAAGAACAGTTTTCCAGTTTTTTAAAAACATTGAATATTTTAAATACCTAAATTGTTTTGCACAAATTTTTGCTAATTTGTCTAACTAGGTTAAACATTTTCAAAAGCATTTAGATTTTTAAGCGTGGGCGCTGTGCATTGTGTCAGTGGCAGCATGGGGACGAGGGGGACTGGCAGGGTGGAGAGGACCCGGGGGCTGACAGGGGTAAGAGATAAAAAGGTGGCTTGAGGAGAAGGGGTTGGGAAGGGGACTGGGTCCTGAACCTACCACTTGTCTGTTTGACCCTCTCAGGTGGTCAAAGTCTGTGCATTGGGGTACCAGGGACTACCAAAGAAAGACCGTCTCTTCCATAGGAACCCCACCATGCTTCCTTGCACCAGGCCACGGGAGCAGCATTTTGTCTGGACTGACGAGGGCAGTCTGGGCATCACTGAGTCCTGTGTGACTGAGTTCTTGCACGACCTGGACAGGTCTATGCCACCTTCCCAGTATTCCTCAGGGCTGTTACCACTTGACATTCAGCTGAGTTCAGCTGGGCTACGTTACAAAGGCCTGAGTCTTCCTTGAGTGCCCACAGTGGATGTCAGGTGGGGCCTATTGTTGAGGCGGTTCCTCCCTCCCTGGCAGTTCTTGGGCTGTAAGTGAAGACATCCCCACAGGAGCAGACCCTGGAGCTATAGAACAACATCTGGGCTGCTGGGTGGCCCCAATGGGACACCGTCCTCCCAGTGCCTTCTACCTCTTTTTATCCCACTTATTTATTCAACACTCATTGAATACCTATTGGGTGACAACACTATGCTAGGCTTTAAGGATCAAGAAGACAAGACAAGAGTGTTTCAAAAAGGAGAGAAAGGCTGACAACAAGGGCTACTGCAAGGAGTAGTAGGCTGGAGAAGTGTCCAGTCAGTGTAGCAAAAAGGAGGTGGCAGTCACCTTGCAGACGAGGGTTTCAGTGGAGTGGAGTGGAGACAGAAACTAGATTGCTTGGGCTGAAAGTCAGTGGGAAGTGAGGTGATGGAGACAACACCTTTTTAAAGGAAGTTGGTTGTTGAAGAGAAGTCTGGCAGCTTGACCATGACATGGGGTCAAGGGAAGTTTTTAGCCAATGGAAGCTGCATCTGTGAGGGACAGGGGTCAGTAGACTGAAGAGTTGGGAGAGACTGATGAGAATTCAGGATCAAGTTTCAGGAGTGGGTGGAAGGTAAATGAAGCTCAGGTTCGGGATCTGCCTTCCAAGGGAAGGGGTACTACTGTGGGTAACAGGAGGGCAGGTGGGAAGCAAAGTTTTGGACACAGGTAGGCTGTGGGTTTGATGCCGGGAAGCTGAGTGTGTTCCCTTCTGCTGCCTTCTGTTTTCTCCCTGGAGTAGGAAGAAGGTTCATCTGCTCAGGATGTGTAAGGCTATGCGGGTGGGTATGACTAAGAAGAGCAGGGAGTTTAAGGGGTCCTCTTTGAGGAATGAAAAAGGGGGTTGATTAGGCCAATGGATTGTGGCTGGCCAGAGTTAAGGATGGTGACATTTGAGTGGCCTCCATCAAGCTATCAGGTTCAAATATAGAGAAGGTGCATGGATGATTGAGTTCCTCAAGAGCAGGGCTTCAGCCAGTCAGGTTGAAAGGATCCTAGGACACAGAGATAGACATGATGGTCCATGTATATGTGCTGGAGGAGGAGTTGTGAAGACTGAGGTGCTAAGTCATGAGGTCCTGGTGTTCTAAAAGCAGGAGTAAGTGGGTGATGGAGGGGTAAGGGACTCTGGGCTCAAGAGTATGGGGATGTCTAGATGGAACAGTTCTGGGAGTGGGCCCAGGATGGGACCCTGGGAGTGAGTGTCTCTGTTTGGTGAACAGCGTCCCTGGAGATGAGGGAAACACCCTACACAGAGTGTAGGGTGGTCACCCTCATGGACACGATTTCACAAGGAAGTAGCACAACCTGGCTGGATGATATGTTGTTAACCACCCACCAGAAGGACAATAGAGAACAAAGATGCATCGGTAGACAGGGCACATGGGCCCTGACAGGGGCAGAGGGCAAACGATGGGTACCAGGGCAGCCCTAGCCAGCACTGCCAACTGCCCCTCTCTCATCTGCACATTCTCTGACTCTTCATCTCTCCTTTTTCTACAGATTGAAACGTCCCAATTGGAGCCTGAGATTGCACGGGCCACCAACAGCCGGACAGTTGTGTATAACAAGGGGCTGTGAGTGGTGGCAACCGGCCTGGGGACAGAGCATCTTCTGCGCTGGGGCGGTGGTGGGCAGGGCACGCAGAAACCCCAGCCCTGGGTCGCGGGGGGGAGGGGGCACTCCACCCGTAATTGTAGGGAAACTAATCCATTCACACTTTAACGTAGGGCAGAGGAATTCTGACACATTCCCTATACAAATTAATCAAGTGCATTTCTGGGCCTTCTGTGGGGTTCACAGCTCCACTCAGCACAATTATATGTAAAGCTGAAAATTTGTAGAGTGCCCACTGGGTAGAATTAGGATTCTTTTGTACTTTGGTTTCTTTTTTTTTTTTTTTTTCTTTTTTTATCAGAATTGAGTCAGCTTGGTGTTTGTGGCTGTTCAGAAGTGATCTTGGACAGGTGGTAGGAATCGGCACCGGCCTGGTAGATTTAAGATTCTGTGGTGGTTGGGAGGGGAGGGGAGGTGGTGTGCACCACATGCAGTCAGCCAGCCAGGACTAAGGTCAAGGAGCACAAGAGGCTCTGGAAGTTCCTGGGACAGCTGGCTCCAAGTGTGGCCAGCGCCATCATGCTGCAGATGCTTGGAGCCCATGATATACTAGGATAGGGGCCCCTCAGAGATGAATCTAGCTCTAAGCAGGAGCCCCAGGAAGGAATGATGCTTGTGGAAAGTGCACGCCTGCCCTCAGGCCCCGTGGAACAGCAGGCTGCAGCCGTTCTGGAGCTAGGTGCTGAGCTGATACCGGCTGATACCCTTGGATGTGGCTGCTGCCCCCACCCCACCTTTTCCTCAGTAGGAGGGTCTTGTGCCCGAGAGTATGGAGATCTGAGCTCTAAGCACTATCAAGAAGTGGCATCAACCCAGGAATGGACAGTCCCCATCTCAGACATAATGGGTATAGCACCTTGGACAAGTCTGCTTCCTTTTCTGTGCCCCCACTCCGTTTGGAACTAGAGGACTGGGTTGAGGGGTTTCTGTGGGCTCTCTCCCCGATACTCACCTTGGTCTGTCTTCCCAGGGCACTGCTGCACTGAACTGGGATGGGGCAGGCCCCACTGGGCATGACCAGCCACTGGTCCCAGAACTTAGATCTTGCTCTTTGCAGCAGTTGGTCTTTGCCAAGCGCTTTGTATTTTTGGAGTAGGCAGATGTGGATGAGTGTGGCGCCACATCGAATGCCACCTGTCACTTTGCATGAGCTTCCTGAGGCCCTGTCTGCTGGCTCTAGTCTCCCTCCCAGCTCCCAGCTCCCAGCTTTCAGCTCCCAGCTCTCAGCTCCCTTCCACTTATAGGCCAGGAGAACATGGAGCACTCTGCAGAGAGAAGCCAGGGTTGGGCTAGGGGGTGAAAGACCCAGGTAAAGGGCCAGCACTGACCTCAATGTGCACTCCTCACTGGACTCCAGCTGGAATGGAGGGGGGCCTCAAAATGCAGCCCTAGGGCTTCCCCTGTCTGGACTCTGGGGCCTTGGGACCCCAACCCAGATGGCAAATACATGCAGTGCAGGAGACGGGCTGGAGCAGGACAGTGAGGAGTGGTCCAGGAGCCTCTCACCCCGCCTCAGTTCAGGAGCCATTTTAGTGAGAAGGTTCTTGCATGGACCCTGGCAGTGTGTACCCACCCAGAAGCCCCCACCATGTCCCCTAGCTGGCACTGCAGGAAGTTGCCCCGGGGGCCCCCACTATCCTGAAGAGTAGCCCTGGAGGGCAGAAGGGAAGGAGTGCCACGGTGTGGAAGGGCAGGTATTTTTGAGCCAATCCCACCATAATGTGAATGTGCCAATGACTGCGGGCTGTGCTGGGCATGCCTGGGTCTTCTTGTGAACCACTCACTTTAAGCTTTCTCTGCCCCTGCTTCCCAAAGGTTCTCGTTCTTGTTCACTGGGACCAAGACTTCCCCCCACCCCACACTTTCACCTGCTCCAGAGGCCTGGCAGAGATGGGGGCCTCTCTAACTCCCACTCTTCGGGCCTCATGGTCTTCTTATTCCCTACTTGTTTTGACCCCTGGATGATTTCTGATCATGTTCCCACATGCAATTTCTGGTGAGGATGAGGTGGCACAGAATCTTTATAGCTCAGGGTGATGGTGACGGGGACAGTGGGCCATGCTGCTAATCCCAGGTTTGGCTACAGAAAACCCCATGAGGAAACTTTCAGCCAACACACATCCTCCTTCTCTGCCAGAGCCAGAGGAAGGGAAACCTGGGAGAAGATTGGTTCATGACTGGGAGGGGTGAATCCTGGACCCAGTCAGTGCAGGGCTGGCCCAACTGGGCCAGAATGCTGGCCTCAGACCCTGGTATACTTTCTCAGCCCTCCTCTGGCCACTTCAAACATTCCCTCAGGCTTGGGGAGGCTCTTTTCCCCATTTCCAGAGAGCAGAAGACCAAGATGCCAACATGGCTGCCGAGTCAAGATGGCTGCCAGATGCCTTCCCACTCCCTGACCATGAGCTGGTTTACTTCCTCGTCTGAGTCTCTGGCCTGGAAAAATGGTGGGGGTCCTGAGGTAGTCTTGCAGCCTGAGGCTTGGTGTGAGTGAAGGACCAAGTACATGACTCAGCCACATCCAAGGGACTTTGCCAAAAGCTCAATGTGTTTTTAACCTCAGAAAATGTCTTAGTCTCTGTGATTTATGTCATACTAATGAACTGTGGGCAATAAATGATGGATTGAAAGCATCAGGACTTGACTTTGTGAATTGTGGGTGGGAGAGCTGGGGGTGGGGTTAGACAAGGTCTGCCTGAGGATTTGGGGGGAAGGCCCCATGAGGGTGCAGATGTGGCCTGGGGCTGGGTAGTCCAGAGGAAAGGACTTAAGAGCATGCGAGGCCGGGAAGCTGAACAAGGGGTGGGCTGTGTTCTGCCCAAGTACACCTTACAGATTGGTTATGGAGTGCTCACTACAGGCTCCACCTCAAGGTACTTCAGTAAATAAGGAATTTTGATAGAGTCCCCCATAGTTTGTATCCCTATGGGGCTAGGAGGGGTGGGGTTGGAGGGTGAAGGGTTCTTCTGTACTGAATGGAACCATAAGGGAATTCATGTTGTTGTTGTTGTTAGTTGTCCTTTAATCAATTCTAACTCATGGTGACCCTGTGTGTGCAGAGTAGAACTGTCTTATAGCTGGGGCCTTTTGGAAGCGGATGGCCAAGACATCTCTGGGTGGGTTTGAACCATCAACCTTTAATTTTTTTTTTATTTTATGCATTAATACTCAGGAGCTTCTGAGATTCTTCATACCAAACATACTACTCTTTAGTCAATTCCAGCTCATAGCAGCCCTGTATCGGGTTTCTGAGGCTATAAATCTTTATGGGAGCAGACAACCTTATCTTTCTCCCTTGGAGTAGCTAGTGGGTTTGAACCATCAACCTTGTAGTTAGCAGTCCAGTGCTTATATTGTTGTTAAGTATCCTCTAGTAAGTTCTGACTCATAGGGCTTCCCAAGAGTAGCTGGTGGAAAAAAAAAAAAAGTGGCTCGTGGGCTTGAACCACCAACCTTGTGGCTAGCAGTCCAGTGCTTATACTATAGCACCACACCAGGACTCCTCGTTCAAGTGGGGTGTGCCAGGCATGCAGAGTTTGGAGGTGGAGGTAAGACACGGAATACCTCTACTGGCTCAACCTGCCCAATCAAGTGCTGATGTTAAGTGCCATCGAGTTGGCTCTGACTCATAGCAACCCTGTATAGGGTTTCCAAGGAGCAGCTGGTGAGTTTGAACCACTGACTTTGAGTTTCAAACTGACCTTGTGATCTAATGTTTGTTCAACAGCGCCATACCAGGACTCCAAGTGCTGATTTGTTGTTAAATGCCGTCAAGTTGTTTCTGACCCATAGTGACTCTGTATAGAGTTCCCGAGGAGCTACTGGTGAGCTTGAACCATTGACCTTGTAGTTCAGAATGACCTTGCAGTCCAGCGCATTAACCCACAACATCATGGAAAAACAGTGGCCATCAAGTTGATTCCAACTCATGGTGACCTTGTGTCAGAGCAGAACTGTGCTTTGCAGGGTTTTCAGTGACAGATTTTTTTGGAAGATCACCAGACCTTCCTTCAGAGGTACCTCTGGGTAGAGTGAAACAAACGTCCACCCTTTCTGTTAGCAGCTAGATACACTAACCATTTGTACCGCCCAGGGACTCCGTAAGAAGGAAAGATCTGATCCAAGTGGTAGATGCCTGGTGCCAACAGGGTGCTTGGCACCACCTGGGAACTACCCATTCCTAATTCCTCCATGGTCCCTTCAAGGGACGACTAGACACTTCCTGGTATGTCTGCTCCTCTTCCACGCAGACTCATGAGTGTGGTCTGGCCTCTTCTATAGGATCTCCATCAGAGGTAGAAGGGAAAAGTACCAGGGAACCATGCAAAAGAGAAATGCCCTCATGGTTAGGGTCAAGCAGACCCTGGACCCAGACCCAGCTCAGCCCTAGTATGACCATGGGACTTCTCACCTCTTAATCTGTTCACCCATTCATCCACTCAGCGGTCTGTTGAGCACCCTGGAGAGCAGGGGAGGAATGCACCCAGACTCTTCTCTCCACCATCCAGGTGTCCTGGTGGCCACTGCCTCCTCCCCTTGCTGAGGAGAGTGGGAGGAGGTAAAAGGATGAAGGGAGGCAAGGGGCTTCTGGTCACCAGGGAATTTCTTTGCTAAGCGCCTCACAGGCCACAGCCCCCAACCGGACGGAAATCCTTAACTCTCAGGACAGACACAAATCCCTCCTGGGAACTGTTTGTTGTTTTTAGCTGGTTTGGGGTCTCCACTCCAGTCCAGCCCGGAGATCATTAACACTCCAGGAATGCAGCCTCCCCTGCCTCCCCTCTGGCCCCCAGGGCCTCCATCCTCCCACTCAGAGGATAAGAAACTGCGGGGGGGGGGGGGGGGGAAGGACAGCGATGAGTGACCCTTTCTCCAGGCCCTGGAAGCCTGCCCTCATTTGTAAAATGGGGCTCCCTTAGTCCCCAGAGCTGCTTCTGCTATCTCATCTATCCCCTGACTACTGACTAGCCCCACAAACAGAAATGTCTCAGTCACTTCCCCAAGGCCTAACCCCCACTGGCCCACTTTACC